AACTTAACGACTATGCTAGTTAGACTGACAGGTCGGTAGTTAGATGCTATCTGTCGCTGACCGTCCTTAAATATAGGACTAACTATAGCGTCCTTCCAATCTCTAGGGAGTTGAGCGAGTGAGAGGGACATGTTGAAGAGTGTCGCAAGCGGTTTTGAAATAATGTCCGCAAGAGATGACAGCAACCGTGGATGTAACCCGTCAGGGCCCGGTATCTTACCAGGTTTGAGGTTAGTTATCAACGGAAGGACAGTTTCCTCAGTCACCTGTACAGATTCGATGGTTGGTATCTCGGTGTGAGTGGGACAAGTATTTGTTACAATAATCGTTGAGAAGACTTCGCTAAAGTAGTCTGAAAAAGTCTCAGCTTTTGCTCGATCTGATTCAGCTAGTAATTCTGAATTGTCGTGTAACAGTAACGGGGGAATACTATCACTACGTTTCATTTGCCGTTTAACATACGAAAACAATCGTTTCGGACAAGTACGGCTATCGTATACTAACTGTCGTTCGTAAGTGGTACGAGATTTGTCTATGGTTTTCTTACAGATATTACGGTATTTTTGGTACTCACGCTTAAATGGTGCATGACCTGTCAACAAGAATAAGTCCCAGAAATGTTTTCTACGCTTTAACAGCTTCCGGGTTTCCTTATTAATCCATGGAGGGCAATGTGATAGCTTACGTGCTGACCATGGGATAAACGGCGACGTTACGGACTCGAATGTAGCCTTGAACTTATTCCATTCATCTTCGATCAATCCATCCGCGTCGACCGACCAATCAGTCGAGATAGCACAGTTTCTGATTTCCGGAATATTGGCTCGCCAGATATTGGGACGGGGTGGAGCAGATACGAATTGTATACCATGTGTCCTAAACTTAAAGTGAATTACAACGTGATCACTGTTCACTAGTGGAGGAAGGTGCTGGATATCAAGGACATCCTCAGAGTGGTGGGTGAGGGCGAGGTCCAGCAGTGACGGAACATGTTGCAAATCAATATGTGTCGGTTTTATGATACATTGTACAAGTGCACACTGAATAACGGTAGATAAAAGGTCGCTATCGAAACCACTACCTGGAGCTGTAAGCTCTATCCAGTTGATATGCGGTGCGTTGAAGTCCCCAATGATGAGACAACATTCTGCCATACTCCAAGAACAGATGTGTCTTAGGATAAAGTCGTCAGCAAGACAAGACGGACTACGGTATATTACCCCTATAGTCACTAACCCATTTCTAGATTTAATCTTACAACATGCAACCTCACATGTGCCACTGATATGAGCCTCTGATATGGTTGATTGTATACGAAAGTGATCCCTAACATATAATATTACACCTCCCCCTTTGCGACTAGAAACTCTATCACTTCTGATACAGATATAACCAGCAATGAAAGGAGGACAGTCTACATCAACGGTGAACCAAGTTTCTGTAACAACGATTATATCGGGACGTAATTCTTGTACCATCAGACTTAGCTCGGACGTTTTATTTCTAAGACTACGAGCGTTCGTATAGCACACACTTAAGGTGTTTTGGCAATCAATCGTTCTACCCATACAGGCCTCGGAAGCATTGGCTTCCAAGACCTGACTACCCGAAAACCCTTAATGGTAAGGTTATTTTCGCCATTTAATTTACGAGTCCTCAACTCCGTAAGAGCATTCTTCCACTTGATTCGATCCTCAAGTGGCCAATCTGGTCGAATACGGATATTTGAGTCACGAGTTTTTAGTGCGCTTTTCAATAATATGTCTCTTTCATCAATACTTCCGAGAACCAGCTTCAGGATTCTTCTTGGTTGGGTCTCGCCTCCAACCCATTTACCAAGTCGTATTACTTTTGTAATATGTACTCCTGAAACCTCTTCAGGTAGTACATTCCTTACCACAGACTCCACTAACTGCAGGTCATGTGCATGTCTTCTAGCAGGGTCGTTGTCTTTCGACTCCTCTAGATTCCAAATAATTAAACTAGGGAGGGGTTTGGCTTCTTTTGAAACTGTGTTTACAGCTTTTGAACGTGACGTTAGATCCTGTATTTTAACTACTGGTATCTTACGATTAGTTTTTATTTTAACAGAGTCCTGGGAGTCAAGCGAATGACTCACAACAATGTCAGACGAAACTTTACTATGGGACTTTGGCGGATTGGCCTGAGAGTCCACCAAGGACTTACCAAGTAAACAGTCATTAGTTTTAGCTATCTTTCCTACTCTTCTGCGTTTTCGCGTCATCCATTTTCCATCAGTCGAAACGTCTACATTAGAACAACTCGGGACAGTAATTGTTTTATCTGGGTCACCGGTTGCTGCTGTAGCAATATGGCCACCAACGTCTAATGACGTGTCACTCACTGAACGTTTCGGAGGAGAACGTTTAACTGCTGGTTGCACAGGTAGATGTCTGGCTTGCGCCGTGATAGCACTTACGACACTAACGCAATCTTCGCCATCAGTACCAATGTTATCAGTACAGCCTTCATCAACCTTCTTATTAGCCAACACCAGGAGACTAATTGCTTCCTGGATAAGCAATGTTTTGCTTGAGCAACAAAAACTACAAAGCCAGTGAGAGTTGGGCTTTGAACACCTTTTATATGCAGTGGGGCTTAGTCGGGTGCACATCTTATGGAACCACTTATTACACTCATCACATTGCATCCCTTCATCCACGGGAAATAAGCAGTATGGTTGTCCACATTTATGAGTAGACTTAGCCATCTTGAAAATCAACTAGAACGGTGATAAAAAACAGGATATGTAAAGGGATTTTCAAACCTTAACTAAATAAACCAAGTAAAAGTCGACCAAGTATGCTTCGATGCAATAAATACACAGAAGCAAAATCAAAAAACTCAATACAATATCACTTTAACTGGGGTAGATGCAATTAAAGTGTAAACAGTAGTTTTGATGCGTAGTTTACGATCAAAACAGTTAATTAACTCAACGAGAAAGAATACCACTGTCCTTTTGAATAGAGCGCGAGAATATCTTCCCAATACACTGTCAACTAGTTCTAACTACATTGCACACAACAACCGAAATCACATCACACCACATACACATAGCCAGTCTTGTGTGCATTAAGATCACAGACACGCACCCGACATTCACAGTCAAAACGCACACATAATCGACCGACGTTTCCAGTCCTCTCGATCAATACATAGCAAAGTGAACTGCAAAACACACTCATCGATGAGATCAATATGGGAGTGGCGAGTTGGCGAGACCCATACAGACGAGAGAGTTGACGTGATCCACAACTGACTTGCCATCCACGTGTCGACGAAACCCACCGAATGCGGTGGATGAGATATAACCTGGTCTGATGAGGTTCTGTGAGACGAGCCAACATAGGGTGGGAGGGGATCAGTTAGGAGGAGATGCGAAGTGACGTGATGTGAGCAGGGGAGAGGAGAGGTGAATAGAGAAGAGGGCAATCTGAACACCGTTGTTCACAATGATTCCAGTATGACTGGCACAACCTGACAGTTGATCGGTCTGATGAATGCGACACTTATGATTGGTGAGAGAGTGATAGGTCACTCATTTCCAAACAAACCAATCACACTCGTACATGCTTGGAATAGGCATTGGTGGACTGTGGTGTTCACTCGTACTCGGTTTGTTGATAGATATGGCGAAGATTTTGCTTGACTGAGTGTATGCATGTGTGTGCATGCATGCATACACGCATGCCTGCCTGCCTGCCTGCCTGCCTGCCTGCTTGCAATCATGTGTGTGCGTGTGTATATATATTTGTGTGTGTGTTTGGTGTTTGGTGTGAAAGTGTTTCTGATGATAGTTGGTCATTATTGCATTGGTGGATCGAGTGGATTCGAGTGACGTTGTGAGTGGATTTTCTCAGCGGTATTCTATCTACTCCTTGTGGTTTTTCACATCTCATATTCCGATTTTCGTCATTTTTTTTGCCTTTTCTCTGCTTTGATTTTCCCCCCGTCTTTTTTGTGTTTATTTTTTTGTTTTATATTTGTCTCTTATTATTTGCGAGTTTAGTTTCTCTCTCTTTTCTTGCCTCACGTGTTTGACTTCTCTGATTTTTCAAAAATTTTTCTCCTGCTCTTTTCTCTTCCTTTTCTTTTGAATTTATTACTTGTATTTTATAGTATATTCCTTTTTTTTTCATGATTTTATTATTATTGTGCGAATATTTCATTATGTACCTTCAAATGTCAATTCTTTGAAATGTGAGGTTTTTCAACGGGTTTATTTCATACCGACTTATCATTCAATTGTCACATGTTCTATTTCTTTTCTTTCGCCCTCACTGTTAATATGGATTATGTTAATTTGGAGTCGTTGTGGACTTTTTCTAACAAGAAGACAAAGCTTTACAGAATTTCAATGGTAAATTACAAAGCATCATACAACTTGTAAATTGTATTTCATATTCACTCCTAAGATTAGTAACTAATGATTAAGTAATAATGTAATCATTAGTACTTTCAAGTAACATTTTATTAGTAGTAAATATATACTCGTAGAATTACTTTTCTTACTTAGATAATTCATTCACATATATATTCTATCAATATATAGACAATGAACAGTTAAGTACATTAATTATATCAATAGAATGGTGCAGGATTATAAAGTGCATTTTTATACAACAGTTCTTACTTCTGCTATTATTACTATATTATTACTATTATTATCATTATTATTACCACTACTACTATTATTATTACTTCTACTATATCTACTTAAAATTGCACTCTTCTCTTACTATCTATTTATCAACATTAATAAGTCTATTCCTCTCTTCTTAGATTTAATAATCATCCTATTTTTTTTAAATGTTTTTCTTTAAAAATCAATAATTAATAGATTATTAATAATCAATAATAGTGATCAGAACATATTACTTGGAAAATTATTCACATAATTAATTTCTATTATCTTGGTAACAATTACAATTATATCTGGATTTATATTACATAGATTTTATTATATTATATTACAAATGATTACAATATTAACATTCATTTATATGATATTATCATTATTGAATCAATTCATTATAATATATGGAATGATACCAGTACAATGTGGTTATAATTTAACTAGACGTATACCAGTATGTTGTCCATTGAGTAGTATTAATGGTAAAGTATGCGGTGGACCAAAATATGGTGAATGTATAGAAATATGGACACCTAAAGAGAAAGTACCAAGTGTATTTTTAATAGATGATAGAATTGATTGGCCAAAACGTTATTTTACATATTTTTGTCAATGTTTTGGTAATTATTTCGGTGCAGCTTGTGATGAATGTTGGTTTGGATGGAAAGGTCAACATTGTAATAAACGTTCAATTAAAATACGACGCGATATAAAAACATTAACTGATAGGGAATTATATATATTTAAAAGATTAGTTGTATTAAGTCAAACATGGCCATCTGGTTATCTTTTAATTGATGAATCGGATAACTGGAATGTTGATCCATTGACAAAACCTAAATTAGAACATGCTTCTGTTCAATACTACATTACTTATTTACATCGTTATAGTAGCCGCAGTACATTGTACAAAAATGTTCAGGATTGTGAAGATTATGGAATATTAAATTTCAATCATGATGGTGTTTGTTTTTCAACTTGGCATCGTTATTATAATCTGTTATGGGAGAGATGGATGACAAAAATTGCGATACAAGTATTTGGTATATCAGATTATGCAACACCGTATTGGGATTGGATCGGTTTAAGACATTGTGATATATGTACTAATAGATATATCGGTGCACCGGGTAGACGCAGTGAAATGGGATTACATATATCATCTGGATCACCATTTAGTAATCTAACTGAGTACTGCTATGAACCAATGAAAGATATGCTTTGTTCTGGTTGTCAGAGAGGTAGAAAGAAAGGAACAATTACACGGGAATTTAAAAAAGGGAATCTTCCGGATGTAGAGGATTTGAAATATGTTTTAAGCTTAAAACAGTAAGTAGACAAATATTTATGCTTATACATATACCACATAAAAGTTGCATAACGTAAAGATTCCCTTTCAATTAATGTAGTATCATTTGAACCAGTGTTTTTTTTTGGTTGACTAATTTGAACAGTGTAAACTCCTTTAAAATATTTAGCACCGAGCTCTTCAGTGGTTTTGAATCAGGATTGAAAAATAAGAAGACCAGTAGCTACAAGCTATTGGAAAAACATAAAACATTTTTACCAATCATTTGCTTGTATAACTTTCAGGATTATTAATTTATTTTTTAATGTTTATTTGAATCTTTTCATTGATGTTCATGACTGCACAATTGATCAATCTCTTATTGACATATATGTATCCTGTGTGGAATGCCTCGATGTCATAAGCATTATAAGCAGAGATGGATGGTAGCTAGTAGTGGACTGCAGGACGCACATTTCGTCCCATTTGGACTCGTCAGCTGGATGTACCTGCATCTCATAGTTGATATTCACTCCAGGACTCGAACCCAATACCGTTCGTTTCAAACGCCATCGTGTTATCCAATCAGTTAATGAGTCGTCATAGCCACTGGCTTGTGCAATGTGATCAAGTTTCAATTCATGTTGTATTGTATACTTGAATCTTCCGACTGATGTTTATGACTGCAACTGACCAGTCTCTTATTGGCATATGTGCAGCATGCTGTACGGATTGCCTCGATACTGCCTTAAGCCACGATCATTATGTCATTGCGTAGTCAATTCTTGTTTATAACATCATGTATAGATTTTTCTGTATGGCTAAATACAAATTTACAATTGCTTTTCTATGTACAATTTTCATTACGTTTAACTACAGTAAAGTGATTATTATACAATCAACACTGTTTGAATGAAGATACGATTTCAGGATTTTGAAAATAATTTTTACTTCATAATTAACAAGTGAAAAAAACCTTTAAAATATTTGAATACAAAAATGATGAGCAGAATGATAAACATAGATGTTTCTAGATCGAGATTTTCAAACGACTGTTAGACCACCACTGAAAACCTGGAAGCACTGGACGGCTGTCATCATGCCAGTTCAGTGATCTAGTAGGTTAAGCGTTCACACGCGAGACGGAACGCCCTGGGTTCGAATCTCGAGAGCGGAATCGTGAATGCACACTGCTGAGGAGTCCCACAATAGGACGAAGCGGCCTCTCAGTGCTTTCAGGTTTCCGATGGTGGTTTAACATCAATCGGCTCATGATCTCAATCAAAAACTTAATAATATCCACAACCCTATACTGATAGATGTTTCTGTAGGTGAATATAAACTATTAACTTATTGACTAATGAATTGGGGTTAGTAAATCTTCATTTGTACCAGTTTTTGTGTTCTTACTTTTACGTCCTGAGAATTGTAGTGGTTCCTTGCTTTACAAGTATACAAGTGATAAGCGATGCCGGTATAATAATCTGCGACGATCAGATATAACAAGTAGCGTTTATTTGGGAAGACACATCAGATACTATATTCAATTCTGTTTTAATTTAATGAAATAAATATCCAATATTATTTAATTAAATAAATAAACATTCATTAATTCATAAAATCATCATTTTGTAAAGCTGTAACCCTTCTATTATAATATTAACTTTGAGATGGTCAAGAAGATTTGAAGCTTAAATGGATGATTTTGATGGAGTTTTATTCTACATGAATTTTGTGCTGATGACATGGTTCAGAAAAACAATGAAAGCTCCACGATCATCAAACCATTCAATTCAGAGAAAAAAAAACCTCTATCAAAATATTCGCTTTTCAATTGTAAAATTTATTAATACGTGCCTTATTTTTGGCCTTTGTAAAATATGATAACTGTAGAGCCTGATGATGAAGTTATTGAGAACAATTGTTCGCTCAAATATTCTTCATTTTTGTTAAGTGAAAGTTTTTGTTATACAACCGTCAACTAGATAAATAAATCATCAATATCATGAATTAAGAGTTAAACAGATTACCCAATAATTACAAATTAAATCTTAGAGATATGTAACTAATTCATCATTAATAATGTTTAAAAATGAATGGTTTACCATACTTTTGCTGCAAAACAATACTAAGTGAATATTTTTAATTATGTATATATACATATAGATTTTATGTTCCGGGTGAACGTATCAGTCCTGTATGTCTATCATTTAATATCGCATTAGAAGGATTTTGCGGTCGACCTGGTGCTGATCCAAATAATAGATGGTTTCATAATAAAATACATGTATTGATTGATGGAAGTATGTGTTGTACAGGGACAGCAAGCAATGATCCATTATTTATATTACATCATGTATTTATAGATAAAATATTTGAAGTAAGTTAATTTATAAAATTGAGTTTTAAAAAGTCATATTTTGTGAATATGATTTTGATGGAATATTCAAAATCTACTCATTTCAATAGTATTATAGAATAGTTTTGTCGTAGGCTTTCATTAATTGATTATCTAAATATTTAATATTAACTTGATCAGTTCATTTTATTACGTCGACAAATTAAACTTGACTTTATGTGACTTTTCTTGATTGAATAATCGTCTTTCTCATGTAAATAATTCATGTTTAGATTTTCATGTAATAAATGATGAAGAGAGTGTGTGATTAAATAGCAAAGACTTCACTTTAAAAAATTTCTAATACATAACGTTCAATTGCATGGGGTTTACGAAGACTCTTGGATGTCATAGATCATATGAAGAAATGATCTTTTTTCAAAACCCACTGAAGCCAGGATTTATTTATGCTTGTTAACCCCACTGGAGGAACATAGGCCTCTCACCAGCACTCTCTATCCAACTCTGTCCCGGACAATTATTTTCACTTGCTATTGATACTTTATATGTCTGTTTCCGATTCCCGATGCAGTATGTTATTCCCCTTTAATGTTTTCCTTCAGGATTCAAAATTAGGGATTTCCTCGTGATGCAGTCTGAGGATTTCCTCAATGTGTGTCCTATCCACTTCCAACGTCTTTTCCCAATTTCCTACTCAGATCGAAGTCAGTTTGTTCTCTCCTACAGTAGACTGGTGCTGATGCTATCCGGCCGACGGACATTCAGTATCTTACGCACACAATTGTTTATAAATACCTGTACATTCTTGATGATGGTTGTGGCAGTTCCAAATAACAGAACTCACTGTCTTGATGTTAGTATTGAAGATAGTGGCTTTGATATTGATTGACAGTTGTTTTGAGTTTCATATACTCTTCAACTGTGAAATTGCTGTCCTTTTCTTGCCAATCCTCGCCTTTACGTCTGCATCACATCCTCCATGTTCATCGATGATACTACATAGACACGTGAAACTTTCCACATCTTCCAGAGTTTCTCTATCAAGTGTGATTGTGTTGGTGTTCTGTGTGTTGTATTTGGGGAACTTGCTTTTCTCCTTGTGTATGTTTAGGCCTACTGATGCAGACACTGCTGCTACACTAGTTGACTTCATCTGCATTTGGTGATATCCATGGGATAGAAGGGCCAGGCGATCTGTGAATTCCAAGTATTCTAACTGATTCCAAGCAATCCATTGTATTCTGTGTTTCCTCTCAGATGTCGATGTCTTTATAATCCAGTCGACCTTCAGAAGAAAGGGGAAGGGGAAGAGTAAGCAGTCTTGTCTGACTCCAGTCCTCACTTGGAATGCACTCGTCAGCTGCCTCCATGCACAACTTTGTACTGTAGTCCGTCGTATGAGTTCCGTATGATATTGACGATCTTCTCAGGCACATCATAGTATCGAGGAAGTTTCAATAATGTTCTCCTATCCACACTGTCATACCACTTCTCATAGTCAAGGAAGTTGATATATAGTGACGAGTTCCATTCGATTGATTGTTCAACGATGATCCTTTGTATCGCGATTTGGTCTGTGCACGACCGATCTTTACGGAATCTAGACTGTTGATCTCGAAGTTGGGCGTCTATGGGTCTTTCATCCGATTCAGAAACACTCTGTAAAAAGCATTTCTTGGTACTGACAATAGTGTGATTTATTTGTAGTTCTCTAATTTGCTTATATTTCCTTTCTTGAGTATCTTGATGAGGTGTCATTCTTTCCAGTCCGTCAGTACTTGTTGTTCCTCCCAAATATTCTTGAATAGAACATGGAGCATCTTTGCATTTGCTTCTATGTCTGACTCCAGTGCTTCAGCTGGCGTATTTTCAGGTGTTGTTGCTTTCTCACTCTTCATTTCTCAGGTGACCATCCTTATTTCTTTGATCGTTGGCGGAGTGATATATAGGAAGGTCTGTAGGCGCTGCCTCGGTGTCCGATGGATTCAGTGGAGCTGGTCTGTTCAAGAGTTCCTTTGTTGTTGAATCGCGGTGATTATCTTGCCTCGATTTTACCTTAATTCACAAGCATTATAAGCAAAGATGGATAGTGGCTAGCAGTGGAATTCAGGAAGAGCGTTTTGTCCTATTTTGGTCCTATTGAGTCGCATAGTGAACATCAACTCTGAGATGCAAGTACATCCAGCTGACGAGTCCCAAATAGGACGAAACGCGCGTCCTGAATTCCACTGATAGCCACTATCTATATTTACTTATAGATAAAATTGTTTTAGATTACAAATAAATTATTTGTCTCATTTTTTAAAAGAATTTTAATGGTATATATATGAGATTTTTAAAATGAGCAGAATAATTTACAGTTACAGACTAATTATTGATTGATTGACGCCATAACTACTCAGTAATTAGATTACTTAAATCTATATCATAACGATAGGAATTGTGCAGATTATTATATGTTAATCAGATCGCGGACTGAAATAAATTATATAACCATTGCGAATCTGTAAGCATTAGATGGTCGCTTCATAACAGGATGGAACTTGTCTAGAGTGAGCATTTAAGACTCTACCACCAGGGATAAGATCCAGAGACTTAAGCATCATGCAAGAACGCTGAATCGGTATACAATAGTATACAAGTTCAAATACAATCAATCCTTGATAGTTAGCTAACATCTTTTATTGTGTTCAGTGAGTACTTTCCTCACACCTTGAATTGTCGAAATCTATTGACCATGGATTTTAGCTAGAATCCAGCAATTTTTCTCTTGAATCTAATTACCAGTGAGCCCACGAGGATTATTAGAATGGGGTCTCGGGCGATTGTTAAACTTGTACATAGAAGTTGTTGCATAGAAGTTAAGCATTTGAGCGCGGTATTGAAGCACACAAGTTTGGACGCTGGTGGTGGAATCTTGAATCACAAACCTTGAGAAGTCCCACAATAGATTGAAGTAGCTGCCCAGTTTTTTCAGGTTTTCAACGGTTATCAGTCCATGATATTGATGAATTCAAGTTTCCTATTTTAATCAATTTATTTGAGTAGTTTGATTAGCTTGTATAAAATATATGTGTATTGAACGAGAACTCAAGTGAGGACAAACAAATTATTGTGTACTACAAAGTTATAGAATTTCTTGGTAAAATATGAAAACTACACATAATAAACTTCATTTGCACATCTTCCATCAGTTGTCACTTACAAACTTCATCAATCCTTCATTCTGTGGAATCAGCTACTTATATCCATATAAGTAGCATATAAGGATAGTCAGAAATAAAATGTATTTCAGTAGAAGATCGAGGAGGAAAGAAAGGGAACGGGAAGCAATTGGCATAAAAATGTAGGAACAATGAAATCTGAGAAGATGGGCTGATATTTGCAAAAGGAACAGTCAAGTTTGAGACAATTGATTGATATTTTGAAAATGAAGTATTTACTGTTTGGTTCTCAGATTTTAGTCAGATACGTTCAAATACACTCGGTTGTCTACACCTGTGTTCTTTTTTACTACAATTCCTTTTATTATAGTAATTGCTATCTGTTTACACTTCTGTTCTCTTCAATTCTGTCTTCTTAACCCATTGCTACCAGGCATCCCACTTCTGACTAGTGTCAGATACTACTTATGTCTATTGTAGTCAGTTATAGCCAGTAAGCGATGAAATCAATATCAAATTTACTGACTAATAAATAAAACTGAGTTTGTAGTTTTCATTAACTTGGTTCCAGTTGTTGATTTGAAGTAAACTGAATATTTAGTTGTTTGTTAGCAATAAAAAATAATTATATTTGTAGAGTAGAAAAATTAAATTTTCAGGTTACAAAGGAACCTTCGTATTATTTAAACTTGGAGTAACTTATTTATTCTCTGAAGAAGTGTCCTACACTAAGTCACAAAACGTCAAAAAAAATTTTTTTTAGTCATTTGGATGTTACAAATATATGATTTTTATTAAAATGTCAAGTTTGACATGTGATATTTAAAAATGTCAGAATGAGTCAATTCATGAATCCAACAATTAAATTACTTCAATTTCCACAAACCTCATTCTGATCATAATCATCATATGCTCACTAGTGACTGGCTCCAAAATGATTTCCTGGAGTTCTAGTGAGAACCTGTGATCAGTGAAGCTCAATCCGTGCCGGATAGAGACAGGTATCTATTTCAGACAATGGATGAATGGTTTCTCAGTCACTCATGGATCGATAGAAGTTAAACATTAACACCTTTGAATGACGGCTCAGCATTAGCACGCAAGACCGAAGGTCCTGTGTTCAGATCCCGCGTGGGGGATCGTAGACGCGCACTGTTGAGAATTCCCACACTAGGACGAAACAGCCATATAGTTCTTCCAAGTTTTCAGTGGTGATCTAGCTTATATCGACTCATAAATTCAACTATTGAAATTCCTACAATCTTCACAAACCTCATTCTCATTAAATTTATCATTTCTATTTTAAATGTGTTTATTTTTTCTTCTAAAATTTTAGTGTTGGTTAAAGACATATAATCCTAGTCCAGAAGAATATCCAGATAGACATGTACGTCCTGGACATTCAAGATATTCATTTATTGTTGGTATAATACCACTTGCTAGAAATATTGATTTTTTTACATCCTTAACAAATTTTGGAGTATATTATGATAATAAAATATTTGGTAGATATGCAGAGGATGGAAGACCACCATTTTATTGTTCCAAAATGGATACTATCACAAAAGGTTCTTATTATTATTGAATAATTTTTTTTATTTCATTCAATATTCAATATGAATGTTTAATTAAAAAATTGTAATAAAAATATCAATAATTTTGGTGATTCCAAAAAGTTAAAGTAGTTTAGTTATATAAGTTTTACACGAAAAAATAATAATTAAATATCGAATATTCACAATTGATTGATCACTGGGTGGCGATCAATGTCATGCGTATCTAGTCCTTATTAGTGCAGATCGAATGCTATCGATCATGTTGCAATGTGGCCACCAGTCTAGGTGACTCGACACTGCGGGCACTATATACTGAGATTAGATGATGGTTGCAGGTAGTCGACAGGATACCCTGAGCCCGGGTTTCATGCTACTTGTTCAAGAATTTCTTATGGAAATAATCATTATTTATTCATTTAGTTTTGTGAGCATTTGATTAAATTGTCACATATGAATTTCATCAGTTTTAAAACAATTATAGATAACTAATAAAAATGTAACCAGGCAGGATTAGGCAAATGTACTTTGATAGTTGAGATCATGAATCAATTGAAGCTAGACCAACATGGATATCCTGGAAGCACTGGATGGCCGTTTCTTCCTACTGTGAGACGCCTCAACAACGCGCACCCAGCACCTATCAGTCTCGCGTGCGAGCGCTTAACCACTAGACCACTGAACCAGCTGGGATCCAACGGTGTTCATGTCTAACTTCAACTAATTCACGAAATTGAGCGACACATAATTTTACCTAATAATTGTTTTACAAATTCCTATCAATCATAAGATTCACAAATGAATGAATTAAGAATCTACTGATCAATTTCCACAGTTATGCATCTAAATTAATACTATAAAGTGAATGACTAAGTTTAAAACAAATACAATGTTTAAAGTAATATTATGTGAATTTAGAAATATTAGGAAAAAATAAAATAGATTTCTGATTGAGATCATGAACGTAATAATTTCCACAACCCTATACTACTAAAATAGATTTTTTAGTATGATAGTTTCAAGGAAGTTGTTGAATGTACTTAGTTTAAATCAAGGACTGACAGTAGTTAAATAAACATTGGACAGCTATTTTGTACTAGTATGAAACTTGTCATTGGCGTGCATATACAACCCCACCATCTCGACCAAACACAGAACCATCATTTACGAGACAAACAGATGAATTGTAGACCAGTGATTCGGTGGAGTCCACTCCATCAGTTGGACTAGGTCTGTTCGATATTCCTAACGACTTCCTTTCGTATTCAATGGTTCTGCGCAGTATTTCCTCAGACATATAAAACATCGATGAGTCAAATCCTTCTAAGAGGACTCCAATATATTTGAGAAACATTAAGGGATATAGTACAATGGCCTATTATGTTTCGTAATTTCCACAATTTTAATATACTCTGTTACAATTGATACGGAACTCTCAGTCCTATAGGCAGTCTTTCAAGAAAACGATGAGTGGATTTGTGCAAGTAATTTTCTTAAATCATCCTGCTAAACACATGAAAATACAAGCTCACAAAAAATGTCTCCAATTGAGCTGAGACTTTTAAATTCCAATAGCTATTGATTCTGCTATTTGATGAACCTTGAATCTGACAAACTGTCAGAAATATACTAAATAGATTGACTATCGGAAATGATTGGTATACTTTTGGACTATGACCAACTTGAACTAAATGGTCTATTATCAAATCATTTGCCGTATTGACAACAACAAATCAGCTCCACTAAAAGATGTTCACGAATGTGAAAATGCAAATTTCTCGAACTTTAGCCAATATAACTTGTTTCACAAGAGCAGTCAAATCTATATGCGTAAAACGAAGTATTTAATCTACGTGATTCTTATTCTCGTCTCGATTTCACTATTAAATGCGAAGAAACACTGATGGCAGTTTCCCGGAACTGAGTGTTCGGAAAAAATTCAACAATCTTCTCGAAACTATTAGACTTACAAATCTATTTTATTTTACCAAAGATTCTAAATTCATACGTTATCGCTTTAAATGGCGTACTTGTCTTGGACTTGGTCATTCTTTTATATCGTTAATTTAGATACATAACTACAGATTATATATATAACTGTGGAAATTCATCAGAACTTATTGAAAAGAATATTATTTGTTTAAATATCTGTATTTTACTGATTGACCACTAATAATTACAACAATATACAGAATATTATCATACTTTCATTCTGTGAAATATAATGACAGAATCGAATAAATTGATGACTGGAATGAAATGGTCAATGTTTCTTAAGAAAATTCGTGACATTTTAAAGCCTAGATCAACGTGAATAAGCAACTTTCTTTAGAAACGAGACCTAATGCATCTAAGCTTGAATAATACAAATTAATTGATATTATATGTGTTTATATGTAAAAGTTCTACTAAGCATCATATTACACAGATTACGTATTACATATCATACACCTCACGAATCACAGACTACTAACTACAGACCTCCAATCAGCTCTGATCTGTGCTGTTTTATAAATGTTGCAAAGTAGTGTTCATAGTCTTCGTGTCTCCTGAATATATCAGAGACATCAAGTTTTTCGGTATAACTCTTTACTTTATGTCTTGAGGATTTCAACTTAGGAATTGCTTTGCAACCACCTACGTAGTTTCTCTAAAATGTGTTCTATATACCTCCAGTGATTTTTCCTAACATCCTTCTCAAATAGAAGTTTGTTAATTTGCTGTCAGAGTGGGTTGTTAGTGACGGTCAATGTCCAACGGAGCTGGAGTATCTTGAGTAGATAGCTCTTTATAAATGTGCTTTTCTGATGGTGATTGTAGTGGGCGTCTACTGAACCTTACATTCGGTTCAGCAAAATTCCCTTGAAAGCTCTGCTTGGCACTGAAGGCAATTTGATTCCTATGTAGTTATAACACTCACTTAGATCTCCTCTCTTCAGTATTTTTCAGGGGAATCTCTCTTTTCAGTCTCATGGCACTTATTCTCCTTAGCTCTTCCTGGGGTGAATGTGGAGCATCTCCACAGTCACCTAAATATCTTAATTTAATGGATCAACCGGAATGCTATGAGGGTCATTCTGCTTTAACGTTTCTGACTTGTCTAATGACCGTGCTGAATTCTTCGATTATTAGTGAGGTGTCCACCTTGCGTGTGCTACCTTGATGTTCAATGGGTTCAGTGATGCTGGTCTATTTAGGGGTTCTTCAAGGAGATCTGCCCACCTGTCCAACTGCTCTTGTACCTCATTCGTTGGCGATCCCTCTTATTTTTGACTGGTTGTTCTGGTCTACTAGATTTCCCTGTAAGCTTCCTGAATGTATTGCATACTTCTCGCGTGGTTTCTTTCTTATCTGCTTGTTCGACCGTAATTGCCAGTTTCTCTACATATTTTTGATTGTCAACCCCCATGCTCCTCTCCATTCAGTCGTTCGCTTCTGTATACTCGCAATGTGCTTCGGCTTTCTTTGTTTCTGTTAGGCTCTTGTTAACTGCTGTTTTCTTTTCTTCCTTCTCATGATCTTGTCTAAGTTCACAGTGGTAATTCATTGTCTGTGCTGATGGTTCTTGCCGTCGAGCACCTTCTGGCATGGTGAGGTTCTTATGTCTTTCGGACTGTTACTTATCACGTGACGAGGTCGGTAATCAGAACACCGACTTATACGACCGTGGCCCTGTGCCAAACTAATGGCGCTTTAACCAGCACGAGCAGCCTCGGGCCAACTCTGGGTCCTTATTGATCCTTCTAGTTTAGCTCTGTTCGTTAAGTCCAGAACACAATCCTAGCTTCCACTGTATGAATCATGCATTTCAAACATACTCAGGTTATATACGAGTGAATCAGACAGCATATGTCAAAACGTGTGTCCTGGATCCTACTGCTATTCACTATCCAACTCCGCACAAAATGCTAGTAGATTATAGGCAATACTAAGGCAATCTACACAGGATGGGAATATGGTGAGACTGATCAGTTCCAGCCGGACATTAACAGCTGGAAGAATTAAACAACCTTTACAAATGAATTATTTGATGGGATGTCGATAATACCTGGTTTTGATTAGCAGCAATATTCACGTCTCATTTATATGAGACTATTCAGCATGAGTCACCTGCAGGTGTTGACATATGACAAATGCATTATTCGGTGCAGAGTATATACGAATGACATCATGATTCCTCGATCATTTTAACCGTTGGAACCCATGCCTCAAATTTGGTAGTTTACAGAAGAACTCAATCTGCAAAATGTTTCTCAGTAGTGATTATTCTAAATATCCAATATAAGGATCCTTTCAGTGCTTCGTTGTTTGCTTATCTGCCCATCTGTTTTTGATAACGATTCTTTCACAATCTAATTGTTATCATATGGCGCATATGCATTTGGTACTTCTTGTATCAATGTTTATGAGTTCAAATAAATAACTAAAATGGACGAGATATTGCCAGAACGCTCAGGTCAAAACAGGTGGCTTTCTTAGAGCAGCATCCCTTGAACTTTTAACCTACTCCACAAACAAGCAGAGGAATGCCAAGAGTAGCAGTTCCACGGTAACCAGTGACTAAAATAGGTTCATACGCTATTTGTCTCCTCAGAATCCTGCAGTCCACGCACACAATTTGTCCCGAATCAAGACAATCCTAGCTCCCCTACGAATGATTTCTGTAACTACTAACCCAGATTATGCGTTGAACATCTACTTTTGTCTTCACTCTCACTACATAAAGACGAGGACTGGCCTGGCAGTCTACAGACAAGTTGTCGTATAAGAACATCCGACGAGAGGACTACACTTAACCACCCTCAACCATACTAAGTCATTTGTCGGCATCTATTGCCTCATTACGGCTCCCTCCAAGAATGTTCTGAAGCTCAAACAACTCATTAGGTTTTAATTCTAACATATACTGCTCAAAATTTAAGATAGCGAAAACGCTAGCGCGCTATTTCTAGGGGGGGTTAATGGGCCAATGATAATCAGACCAAGGCATATCTTTCTACGAAATTGCTACCAGTTGTTATAAATGTATAAATGAAGAGTACTTGGAGTCAGCTGGATAACGTTAATTAGTAGTTGGTGGTATGCGTCAAGACTATTCGAAAAAGCAAATTCGGTACAACTCTGTAAAAATTCTGAATATTGTATCATCTTATGCTATTCGTTCCCCGACTACCTTCTCTACGTACTTTTTATCCTTTGGTTTTCCACTAGTGTTGATAATGTTGTTTTCATTCCTTACACTATCCCCAGTTGGAATACAGTGAATGAGGTAACCGGAACAGATACGTTTTGAAATACCTCTCCAAAAATAAATAAGAATGACAAATTATCCCAGCCTTTATGATTTAATCTACATAATAAAAGACACCACTACTAACACTTACTCGTTCTATCCCTATCATTTATAATTAAGCAACAAAGTATAGGTGTAAACAATTTACTGTCGCGTTTTACGACAGTAGATACGCAAGTACGCGAAATCAAACAAGGTATGAATAAAGTTAATGTACATGAAATGCCGAATATCGAAAATACTATAAGGATTAATTTGCTCTACATATTAGAAGCGTGCGTCATTTTATCGTTATAACAACTATGTAATGTCAAAAACCCAAATATTCGGAAGATATCAGTCAGTCAGCTACAACGCAGGACCAGCCACATATATGCATCGGTCCAAGTTGCCATATCACATTAACACAACAAGATGGAAACTGGATCCATAGAAGTAGTTAATTTAGAGGTGGTAATATATAAAAGAAAGATTGCAATGAGGATATAGTATAGGAAGAAAGAATTAGTTAGTAGAAAGAAGGATATGAAGTGAGTTTAATCTCTTAGTTTAAGGGAAGACAGGGAGTGTATACAACGACGCCATTGTGAACGACACTGAGTCATGTCACCAAGAGTCTCCAACCATTGGTTACGACAGTCACGCGGACTCCAACCAAGTAGTCTGCATCTACCAACATGGCTCAGACTAGAAGTTAGTGACTTCAAGCACTGATGCCACGTTTTGGTTTCACCGCCCCTTACTTTCTTCCAACCATCTCCAACACCGGTTAGCATTGCACGTCGTGGTAATCGATGTTCAGGCATACGTAACACGTGGCCCAACCATCTCAGTCGATGAAGATTCACAACCTCATCAACTGATTAACCATCATTCCCTAATACCCTGCGTCTAACCTCATTATTACTTACCCGGTGATCCCAGCAGATGCCAGCAATATTTCTAAGACATCTGTGGTCAAATACTAGTAGCTTACGGGTGTCTTCTACTCTTAAGGGCCATGTTTCGCTGCCTTAAAGTAAAACAGAACGGACTGCCGCGCAGTATACTCGTCCTTTTATTGATAGACGGATATCTCGCCTTCGCCAAAGGTGACGAAAGTTGACAAAAACCAAACGAGCTTTCCGAATCCGTGCTGAGATTTCGTCAGACACCAACCCATTAGGGCTGATCAGACTTCCCAGATAAGTGAAGTTGTCAACGCGTTCGACTACCTCACTCCCTATCCTTAGTTCAGGTGTTGACGCAGACCAGTCCTGAAGCAACAACTTGCATTTAGAGGGAGAGAAGCGCATTCCAAACATTCTGGCATTGTTGCTTAGTACTACCAAAAGACTCTGCATTTTATCAGCGTCTTCACCAAACAGGACTATATCATCTGCGTATTCTAAGTCGATAAGTGGACCTCCTGGAAGGAGATCAATACTCGAGAATTCAGTAGACGAAAATGTTATTTCCATCAATAGGTCTATGATGAAGTTAAACAAAAATGGATAAAGTGGACAGCTTTTGTTGTTTGATCTCTATTGTAGTTGAGAGCAAGCAAATACAGTGACAAATCAAGAGTCGAGTGAATTGATAATATTCAAGTACATGTGTATAAATAATTACATGATTCATCGTGCGATTCAAGCAAGTAATATTTAAGCTAGTAAGGGGAATGTGTGTATGGGCTGTAACAATTCATCAAGCACACATGTTCATACAGGCCTTTTGAACTTCTGCTAGAGTTGGGGGACCTACTTCAATGTTCCATTCACACTGTCTGGGCATGGAGGGTAGTTGTAGAGTAGCTGAGGGCCAGTTGAAATGTTCCGCCCATCGTTCTAAACGTCTGGACTGGGAGCGGATGAGAGTTTCGTCTTTTTCCGAAATAATCTCACTTACACTTGACTTAATAATTCCAGTTTCTTTTATTATTCTGTAGAGCTGTCTGGTGTTATCTATAGCTGCTGCCTTTTCCATTTCTTTTGCTTTCGTTACCCACCACTGCTCACGGTCGTTCCTTAGAATTTTTCTTAACCTATATCTGATTTCTTTACGCTCTTCATCATGTTCAGAACCTGATGGGATGAGTTTACGAGAATCCATCAGTGCAATAGACCTTCAAGAAATCCATTGGATCTTTATAACTCTGTGGTTTAAATCATTGATAAATGTCACTGCTGTTTCCACAGCTGATTGTATGCCTTTCCAAGCAACATCTGGATCAACCTCGTCTTCAGAACTACCTAAGTGTGACCTCAGTTGTTCCTGGAACCTACTTTTGGTTTTCTCCTTACTCAATTCAGTTCTAACGGGTTTTTTAATGTGGCTTTTTTGCGTCCAGTGAGGCGCAAGCAGATGCGTACCCGTATTAGGGCGTGGTCGGAGTCCAAGCAGGTACTCCAGAATGAGCGACAATCTTGTACCGACCATCTCCAACGATGACTGATGGCAATGTGGTCTATTTGAGTCCATCGTTGGTTTGGTGTAGGGGATCGCCATGTTAGACGATGTCTCTCCTTATGCCTAAAATTTGTGTTTGCTAAAAATAAACGATTGTCTGAGCAGTTGCAGCAGACGATCACCATTATCTGTTTGTTGTGCCGGAATACTAAAATACCCACCTCAATGCCTTTCTGTTTGGTTTAAACTACCTAGCTGGGGATTAAAGTCACCTGCTACGAGTGCTATGTTTGAGCGTTTAGCTTTCTGAAGAAGTTCGAACAGCTTTCTGTAAAATTCATCTTTCACTTCATCTGAGCTGCAGTCAGTGGGAGCGTAGGCAGAAACGACAAAAAGGCAACGACGCTATTAGGTATCTTAAATGTTCGCCTTCTGACTACACGCCATTACATTACCAGATTTGCAGTTATTGAACACATTAATCTACCATGTACACGAAATATCATCATTACAACGAACATTCACGGCGCACAACTAATAAACGTATACACCTTTCCGTTGACGGGCTGCGTACAAAGACACGCTGCCAACAAATAGGACGGAAAACCTGTTGTTAGGAGGATGTGAAGAATCCATATAATTATAATTACGCTGTCATCATCACAAATGATTCTAGTACGAGGCGAAGGCAGTAAAAGCAATTAATGAAACTAAGTCTGAAATAACCGATTTAAGAGAGAATTAATCCAGTTGCAGAACTACTTAGTTACATGGCTTTAAAGAGAATGGTGTGTTAAAACATACATTGAGCTCCATTTTCAGATGAAGTTATGTTAATTCGCAGTTCAAGTTGTATAAATCACTTGAAACCTAATTCTTATTAATCTACGGAAATATTTTATTACATCACCTCGATCACTGATCACATACACATATCAAGCTTCATGTAACCTCTGTCTGATTCCAAATTTAACCACCGTTATTCTGCAATGACCATACGTAACAATAGTTCCAATCTGCTTTGACAAATTTAGTGGCATCATTAGACGATAAACTATACTACCCACCAGTTAGCAACGGTTCAAGTTGTCACGCCCCGGGTAGGCAGAATGGAGACGATCGTTGTGGAAAATTACACCGAGAGCAATGAGAATCCAAACATAAGTACAGTTCAAAAGGTATAAACGCCACCAAAGAACGTAAAGCTAGGGAAAGTAATCCAAGATTTAAAAAGCGAATGCAACTGAGCCAATGAATGGTTATGAGCACCGATATTCAACGACTATAGCCATAGGTTGCAATTAGTCTACTAATCCCGAATGGGGAGAGTACTCAGTCCTAAAAGACATGTCTAATCAAATAGACCATTAGACAGATCGACCTTATATTTATGAACCCTAGACTCCTGACCTCTTGCGACATTTGACGTTGTACATCTAAGTAGGTACCCAACAATACCAAAACGCAGCCTAACCGAAACAGAAGATGAGGATACATCACTTTTACCATTGGCAACCCGCTGGTTCCACTGTAGCTTGAGCGTTTCCTAGGTTTGGATGCCCCAAATGAAGCAGAGAAAACTACGTGGCTTTACACTCGCCCTTTGTTTAGCGAGGTAGTACTACCCCATATGTGGTGGGGACTATTAGAGGCAAGATTGGCATTTACAATCATATCGAGAAACTTCCATATCGTTAAGATAACAGTTCTCAAGAAAAGGAAACTATCTGGTACTGAGGGACAAGATACGGAAAATCCAACGGTTTGAGAACACCTGCATAGTTGAGTAAGTTCAAACTACCTATGGTCAACAAGTTAGGTTTTTGCTGAAAGGAACTAAGTATTCAAAATGTTTGCTTTTATTGAGACATGTAGAGTAAGTCGACATGCTTCAAGTAGCTACAAAAAAAATGCTTGTAACTGTAGTTACCAACATGAATAAAGTTATTAGAAAATCATATATTAGTATCTTTTATTGCCAAACAGCAAAAACACAGAACAAATCTGAAGACAAGCCATTCCTGGAACACGGACAAAGCAACTCACACGAAACTGCAGTTAGTTGCGGTTCGAAGATTTATATTGTCACTTCAATACACTTAAAACCGACCCTTCTAAGTAGACTCGACTTTATAAATTTAATCCAAAAAGCAAACCACGACAGAAACGTTAAGTAGATATGCTAAGATGCCGAATTTGTTTTGTGAAGACCGTCCTTAATATGTAACACAATGCACAATTAAAAGTGGTGCTTAAACTCGACAAAGAACTATCCAAATTAATTACTACGCAGACTATCCTGTATTTGATGAAACTAAACGATTTAATCAACAAGGAAAAGGAATGAAATTTTACGAAACTCAGACTATGTACTTTTTCAGAGGTTTCAATGTTATTTTGTATTCACAAAACCTCGTCTTTGCACGAATCTCCTAAAATAAAGCCTTAGTACAGGATATACGGCTTTAATATATTGGAATGACAAGGATTATTCTTTAAAGCCTCCCACATATAGGAAATAAAATTCAATTAGCTAATAGTCCAGTCCATAAATTTATTTATAACAGACTCATTCTGCTGATTCAACATTAATTATCTGCTTTCCTTTAAAATCAGTACAAGGCACGAATGTTACCAAAGTGTAGAACTTATGTATACTGTCTGCGTCCTTGTTAGCTTTGCGCGCAAGCCTCACGCGGACACGATATGGAACATTTCGGACACCTTTGGACCATATAAATCTATATACATATAATAGAACAGCTATATGAGCTTACTGATTGAGCCGCACACCAATTCGAACATCTTCAGTGCCCATCATCTTTTTAGCAAACATCTTTATTTCTTTAATAGCTCTAGGAGCTCGCCTTTTGAAACCAACACCATGAATGCGTTTGTGCAAATGAATTGTATATTCACGAGTAGCAACACCTTTTCTGGCAGTCCTTCTAGCTTTCGCTCCTGATTGCACCATGGCCGACAAGCAAGCACGCCAAACCTAAGTAACCGCTAATGTTTACTGACCCTTAAACGATCAGGCTGTTTGATGTCCAATTTATAACGCTCATAAAAAGAACAGCTTATGTACATGTTATCATCATACTGCGAATCCCGCCATGATTTTTCTACATTATTTACACTAAGATTCATGGCGGGACATAGATATATATCTGTACTTTTATTTAAGGTTGTGGCATATTTGATAGTTAGCCCGATATGATATGGTACACCAAACAATAAACTATGAATCTGTTCCTTGTTGTAACGTCATATTTTTATCTTTGTGTTTTTTCCTTCCGGTAAGGGACTTTTGCATTCTTGGATTTTTTTCAGCCCATTTATACATTTTGTCCTCATTACTGTGATTTCAGATTCAAATTTGTGCAGTAAGGACAGAAGGCCTACGGCCTATGTTAGACCTTTTCTAGTGGGCTTTCGCGAGTGTTCAGTCTTTTCTTGAAAGTGTCAGTTGAAGGTGCGGACACCATTGCTTCGGGCAGCAGTTTCCAAGTATTGATGACTCGGAGTGAAAATCTGTATGCCACGGGTATTTTGCTCGTTCTTGGCTTTTCTACTCGCCTGCTATGTCCTCTGAGATGTCCTGATCCAGTGGGAAGAAAAAGACAGGATAAGTTAGGTCCAAAATAATTTCTCAGTATTCTGCACACCGAAATTATATCTCCCCTTAATCTGCGATAGGGCAAAGTAAAGAGGTTCAGTTTTTCATGCCGTTCTGTGTATGGTAAGTCCCGGAGTTCTGAAATTGCACGGGTAGCTGCCCTCTGTACTTTTTCCAGGATATCCGAGCCACCTTTTAAACAGGGGCTTGCAGCCTGAGCTCAGTTCTCAAGCTTAGTTCTCACTAAGGATTTGTATACTGTGGTGAACATGGTAGTATCTAACTAAATGAATGTCCGTTTTAAAGCCCATGGGGTTCGAAACCCCTTGACTGCGACCTCCCGGCAATAGGCCGTCGTCTTAAGATTATTACTCACTGTCACCCCTAGGTCCCCATGAGACCGGACCACGGGTAATGGCACTTCCTCTATGTTGTACCTATTAGCGTTTGAGTCCCCATAGTGCATGTAGACACTTTGCCACGTTTATGTGCATCAGCCACTCTATAGATAAGTTAATCACATTATTTAAGTTTGCCTGAAGTGTGCATGCATCTACGTCTCCTGTTATTACTCGCCATATTTTTTACATCGTCAGCGTATAATAACATCGGTGACTGTACAATACTTGGGTGATCATTTAAATACGGCATAAAAAGTGAAGGACATATGACAGAAACTTGAGGTATTCTATTAAATGCTGGTCTCCAGGTGAAGCACTTTAAATTTACTCTCACTCTCTGTCTACGACCTACTAGGAAATCCTTAATCCATTTTAAAAGAGGTCCGGCAATACCAATTTTTTCTAACTTCAATAGCAGTCTATTAGTTGGCACCTTGTCAAATGCCTTGCTGAAGAATTTGTAGACAATATCCACTTATTTTCCGTTGTCTTACGCCTTTATCCAATATTCCTTTGCTATAAGGAGGTTTGTTGTACAATATAAATCCCTTTTAAAACAATTTTGTTTGCTGTTTAAAAGATTATTGATTTCCACAAATGTAATTATGGTCTGTTTGGCTATTATTTCCAAGATTTTAACTACAACACTGTTGAGGCTTACAGGTCTGTAGTTCGATGGAAGTTGTATTGGTCCTCTTTTATGTATGGGGTTGACGACTGCGTCCTTCCAGTCCATGGGTAAAACACCTTGGTCAAGTGACATATTGAATAGCAGTAAACAAGGCTGCGATATGTTGTGTAGTATGTATCAAGATTTTGGGGTGTAGTTCATCTGGTTCTATTTACTTTTCTATGTTTAAGGTGCTAAGAGCCCTAAATATATCCACTTGATGAAAGTCCACGATGTGCAGGTGGTTTGTTAACTCTGTTTTTTGGTCTGGTTCTCTGTCTAGAAAAGGTTCTTGAGTGAAAACTGCCACAAAATAGTTATCCATAGTCTCTGCTTTTCCACGATCCTCTCTATAACATCACATTCACTTCCTTCCTTAATTAGGTTAGAAATACAATGATGCACCTCTGCTCCGTAATTTATGTGCGAGAATATTCTCTTAGGCTGCATGAGTGCATATTATGTGAAATGTATTACATATTTTCTCTGAGCTTAACGAATTTTAATTATAAACGTGTTACTTACCGATCTGTAGCGTTCCGTCGTACCTCCTGCGCCAAGGCTGTTGGCAACATTTCAACATTTCTTATTTTGACTTAGTAAGCGTCGAATATTTAAGCCTATACAGGGATGGCTGTGTTTCCTCAAATTTCTCTAGAAACGAGACCTAATGCATCTAAGCTTGAATAATACAAATTAATTGATATTATATGTGTTTATATGTAAAAGTTCTACTAAGCATCATATTACACAGATTACGTATTACATATCATACACCTCACGAATCACAGACTACTAACTACAGACCTCCAATCAGCTCTGATCTGTGCTGTTTTATAAATGTTGCAAAGTAGTGTTCATAGTCTTCGTGTCTCCTGAATATATCAGAGACATCAAGTTTTTCGGTATAACTCTTTACTTTATGTCTTGAGGATTTCAACTTAGGAATTGCTTTGCAACCACCTACGTAGTTTCTCTAAAATGTGTTCTATATACCTCCAGTGATTTTTCCTAACATCCTTCTCAAATAGAAGTTTGTTAATTTGCTGTCAGAGTGGGTTGTTAGTGACGGTCAATGTCCAACGGAGCTGGAGTATCTTGAGTAGATAGCTCTTTATAAATGTGCTTTTCTGATGGTGATTGTAGTGGGCGTCTACTGAACCTTACATTCGGTTCAGCAAAATTCCCTTGAAAGCTCTGCTTGGCACTGAAGGCAATTTGATTCCTATGTAGTTATAACACTCACTTAGATCTCCTCTCTTCAGTATTTTTCAGGGGAATCTCTCTTTTCAGTCTCATGGCACTTATTCTCCTTAGCTCTTCCTGGGGTGAATGTGGAGCATCTCCACAGTCACCTAAATATCTTAATTTAATGGATCAACCGGAATGCTATGAGGGTCATTCTGCTTTAACGTTTCTGACTTGTCTAATGACCGTGCTGAATTCTTCGATTATTAGTGAGGTGTCCACCTTGCGTGTGCTACCTTGATGTTCAATGGGTTCAGTGATGCTGGTCTATTTAGGGGTTCTTCAAGGAGATCTGCCCACCTGTCCAACTGCTCTTGTACCTCATTCGTTGGCGATCCCTCTTATTTTTGACTGGTTGTTCTGGTCTACTAGATTTCCCTGTAAGCTTCCTGAATGTATTGCATACTTCTCGCGTGGTTTCTTTCTTATCTGCTTGTTCGACCGTAATTGCCAGTTTCTCTACATATTTTTGATTGTCAACCCCCATGCTCCTCTCCATTCAGTCGTTCGCTTCTGTATACTCGCAATGTGCTTCGGCTTTCTTTGTTTCTGTTAGGCTCTTGTTAACTGCTGTTTTCTTTTCTTCCTTCTCATGATCTTGTCTAAGTTCACAGTGGTAATTCATTGTCTGTGCTGATGGTTCTTGCCGTCGAGCACCTTCTGGCATGGTGAGGTTCTTATGTCTTTCGGACTGTTACTTATCACGTGACGAGGTCGGTAATCAGAACACCGACTTATACGACCGTGGCCCTGTGCCAAACTAATGGCGCTTTAACCAGCACGAGCAGCCTCGGGCCAACTCTGGGTCCTTATTGATCCTTCTAGTTTAGCTCTGTTCGTTAAGTCCAGAACACAATCCTAGCTTCCACTGTATGAATCATGCATTTCAAACATACTCAGGTTATATACGAGTGAATCAGACAGCATATGTCAAAACGTGTGTCCTGGATCCTACTGCTATTCACTATCCAACTCCGCACAAAATGCTAGTAGATTATAGGCAATACTAAGGCAATCTACACAGGATGGGAATATGGTGAGACTGATCAGTTCCAGCCGGACATTAACAGCTGGAAGAATTAAACAACCTTTACAAATGAATTATTTGATGGGATGTCGATAATACCTGGTTTTGATTAGCAGCAATATTCACGTCTCATTTATATGAGACTATTCAGCATGAGTCACCTGCAGGTGTTGACATATGACAAATGCATTATTCGGTGCAGAGTATATACGAATGACATCATGATTCCTCGATCATTTTAACCGTTGGAACCCATGCCTCAAATTTGGTAGTTTACAGAAGAACTCAATCTGCAAAATGTTTCTCAGTAGTGATTATTCTAAATATCCAATATAAGGATCCTTTCAGTGCTTCGTTGTTTGCTTATCTGCCCATCTGTTTTTGATAACGATTCTTTCACAATCTAATTGTTATCATATGGCGCATATGCATTTGGTACTTCTTGTATCAATGTTTATGAGTTCAAATAAATAACTAAAATGGACGAGATATTGCCAGAACGCTCAGGTCAAAACAGGTGGCTTTCTTAGAGCAGCATCCCTTGAACTTTTAACCTACTCCACAAACAAGCAGAGGAATGCCAAGAGTAGCAGTTCCACGGTAACCAGTGACTAAAATAGGTTCATACGCTATTTGTCTCCTCAGAATCCTGCAGTCCACGCACACAATTTGTCCCGAATCAAGACAATCCTAGCTCCCCTACGAATGATTTCTGTAACTACTAACCCAGATTATGCGTTGAACATCTACTTTTGTCTTCACTCTCACTACATAAAGACGAGGACTGGCCTGGCAGTCTACAGACAAGTTGTCGTATAAGAACATCCGACGAGAGGACTACACTTAACCACCCTCAACCATACTAAGTCATTTGTCGGCATCTATTGCCTCATTACGGCTCCCTCCAAGAATGTTCTGAAGCTCAAACAACTCATTAGGTTTTAATTCTAACATATACTGCTCAAAATTTAAGATAGCGAAAACGCTAGCGCGCTATTTCTAGGGGGGG